ACCATGCCATATGATCGTCGGCAAGAAGCCCCTGCGGTGGGTTCTTGGGGTCCACTCGTCCGTTCGCCCTTCTCAAGTGTTTCTACATCCAATCCGTTTCTGCCATTAAACACTCCCTTCTAGCACAGACCCTTGAAAGAAGTCACCCAGCAAGATGGGAGGATCGCAGCCATGGCCACAGGTTCCGGTCGGAAACAAGGACCATACTGATGCCGCAGTTGTTATTATCGGAGCGGGCATCTCTGGTAGGTACTTCAATGACCATCTAATTTCTGTCATGCTAACATCACCGAGGAATGTGTATGGCGATTGACCTCATCAAGCGAAACCAATGCCACAACTTCATCATCGTGGAGAAGAGCTCTAGTGTCGGCGGCACATGGCATGACAACAAATACCCCGGTTGCTGCTGCGATGTTTGGAGTATGCTGTACAGTTATTCCTTCGAACAAAATCCAGATTGGACGAGAGAGTATCCGGGACAGGAGGAGATACTTGTACGTCTTTCTCTGATATCTACCTCATATTACAAACACTAACGTTTGCTGCAGGATTATCTCCGCAACGTAGCCCGCAAGTACAACCTATACAAATACATTCGGTTCAACACATCTGTCGAAGCCGCAACGTGGGACGACTCGAAGAACCGCTGGAAGGTCGACGTGAACGTGACTGGCGGCAAAGATGCAGAGTTCAACCCCGCCTACAGCATTGAGTGCGACTTTCTGGTCTCAGCTGTCGGTCAGCTCAACCAGCCACAATACCCCGACATCGAGGGTTTGGAGAACTTCAAGGGCAAGATCATGCATTCAGCGCGCTGGGACTGGAGCCACAGGCTTGAGGGCAGGAGCGTGGGCATCATCGGCAACGGTACGCGCAATAGCACTTGTCTGGAGTAACGAACACTGACAAAGACACAGGTGCCACGGCTGCTCAGATCATCCCAGAAATCTTACCGCAAACCTCTTCCCTGACCATCTACCAACGATCCCCGAACTGGGTCATCCCGCGTCTTGACGGTCCCGTTAGCGCTCTCAAGCGTGCCGTACTGCGCTACCTACCTCCAGTTCGCTGGCGCATACGCAGTTCCATGATGGATTTCCGGGAGTCCTTCCACGACGCCGTCACGGATAGCAAGAGCGAGTTTGCAGAAGTGATTCGAAGCAGTTGCATGGAGATGATGAAGACACAAATCCCCGACCAACCTTCACTATGGGAGAAACTCACACCAAACTACAGCCCAGGCTGCAAACGGGTCATCATATCCGACGACTACTATCCTGCCGTAGCCAACCCGAAAACTACACTCGAGACCAACAAGATCCGTCGCATTACAGAAACCGGCATCGAACTCGAAGACGGCACACATCACGAGCACGACACCATCGTCCTCGCGACCGGCTTCCGCACAGTCGAATTCCTCCACCCCATCAAAGTCACCGGAGCCAACTCGCGCCCCTTGGCAGAAATCTGGTCTTCCGGTGCTACAGCCCTCTATGGCACTACCATTCCCTCTCTCCCCAACTTCGGTCTTTTCTACGGTCCCAACACAAACCTAGGCCACAATTCTATCATCTTGATGATCGAAGCACAGTCTCGCTACCTCAACACCCTCGTTTCCGCCGTCCTCGATGCGCGAAACCGCGGTCACAGGATGGGCATCATGCCCAAAGAAGACAGGACACACGAGTGGAATGAAGGTATTCAGCAGATTTTGAAGAACAGCAGTTTCGCCGACCCGAACTGCATGTCATGGTATAAGAACAAAGAGGGGCGGATTACCAACAACTGGTCCGGGACGGTCGTCGAGTACCAGGAGCAGCTTGCCAAGATTGACTGGGAGGATTTCGAGACGACGGCTACTATCGATGAGGGGGAGAAGGAGGCGAGTGCGACTGCTACTGGCGGTGTTAGTGCGAGTAAAGTAGTTTTTGGGACGGGGAAGCAGGAGACGAAGATTGGTAGGGTGCGCGAGGAGACGCTGGTGAGTAACACGACGTTGGTGCTTGGGACGCTGAGTGCAGTCGCTGCGGGTGCGGCGTGGGTCTATCGGGGTAAGCTGCCTAAGAGACTTGGGCTGCGGACCTGAAAGCGCGATCTGAAATGTATTTGCTATGTACAAGTAATATCAAAGTAACATGCGCGATAAGCAATTGCCTTCTTCATACGACCTTGAATCGTCACTGCTTCAAAACCCTTGTCTCTCCCTCCACTTCCCCTCCCACCCCTCAAACCAAGGACTCTCATCTAGAGTCTGGGGTTCCCAATCCTCACCCACCAACCCCTTCTCAACCTGTTCTTTATGCCACTCTTCCAACTTCGGCTTAACAACATGCTCAACATGCCACGTCCCCTTGTAGTCCATCAACTCCTTCTTCCCCTCGTTCAGAACCTTGAGCAACAACCCCGGCACACATTTCTCCTCTCTAAACTCCTCAATCGGGGTAAACAGCGCTTTGAAGTTGAACACGACGGCGCCTGACAGTGGGAGCCTGCGCAACGTCTGCCAGTCTACGCGGAGGTTGATGCGAGATGTAGGAAGCTCAGATGCGGGAAGTTGTTGCTTGCGAACGGCCTCGTGGGGGTCACCAGGGGGCATGTAGAGAGGAGTATCGATTTCTAGGCCCCAGGAGCCGCGTTGTATGGGTTTGTCTGTCGGCTTTTTGGCGAAGTATCTGTGGTGTTGGGTTAGCATGAGACAGTGGAGAGTGTTGAGGGGACGTACCTGTCCATGGAAAACTGCATCTTCTCCTTGTAGTCTGGAATGGGTTTGTGTATGTCGGCGAGTTCGAGACCGATCTTCGAGCCTACGTTCCAACCTAGCGCACTGCATATGATGCCTGCGCGGAACACGTATAGTCCTGTCTTCTCGTTTCGCAGCATGATGGCGAAGTCTTCGGGGATGTTGTTGAGGAGAACGTGCAAGGGTGGCGTGGTGGTGAGATCGGTGTCTGTCTTTGATATGCCATTGTGAAATGTCTTGTTGTTTGCTGATAAGTGGAAGCAATGTGGGTACCTGGCGCACACGAATTGCAGTACCATCTCCATGAGTTCTTTGCAGGCAAGCTCCGAGCCTGGTAGAGCTTGGAGGACTGCTTCGCCGTGCTTTGCGAATAGAGATTGTCGTTGCTTAATTCGCTCTTCGTATGTGTTCTCGAGTTCGATCCACCAGTCAGGTTGCATCTTGGTGATTGCTATCTATGATCAGTATGGGACTGGGTGCAGCTGTCAATACTACTCACACATTGTTTGATGGTAAGACCACCGAAACGGTCTATATGGCCGGGGCAGTGCCCCTTTGATGTCGAATTCTGGATATGGGTCCGGTAGAGGTACGCCGCTGAGTGTAGCGTAGTCTGGGAAATCACCGAGGGCTCTGATTTCCTTCACAGAAATGCCACATGGGAGGTATGTAGAGTCAGCGGCATCCAGATATGATGTTTCCATCGGTAAGACATTCTTCTGCCAGTCTGGCGACAGTTCTTCAGCCTTTTCTGTCTTCGCGTCTCCAAATAAGGCACATCGTCGTGATGGTGGGAAAGTGCTGGCGTGATCAATCGGGGAAATGGACGCTGCCCTCTTCTCTGGAGACAAAGACCTTGGAGGAGTCTTTGCGCCTGATACCCTTCGTCCGCCGCTACGAAGCCGTTGTAGGATGATGTTGCGCCTTCCCCGCTTGTTCAGCAGGAAGACTGAACTGAGCAGAAAAGCTGCTCCAAACAGCAATGAAAGGTTGGTAGCCATATTCAATGACTGTAAGATGATTGAAAAGATAAAGATACACCCTGACCAGCGATTGATCTGGCGCTCTTCTTTCTTCTGAATGCAAGCAGTGTCGGTGGAGATGGATGACGATGAACGTTGAGTCAACGACGGCAGCGATAGCTTAGCTTCGGAAATATTGTGATAGTTGACAAGAGCGAGGCTTCACCCAAGACATTCTATAACCGGAAATGAGGTCTGATTGTCTTATCGTTACGATGCGGGGCGGGATGACTGCTGCATAGATGTGCGAAGCGACCTGTAAGACTACCCTAAACAGGTAATGACCGCGCCACGATCGGACGCAAGCGAACAGCACGATGATGTCTCTCATTAGAAGTATGGGCTGTAACTCCTAGGTTGGGATGGCTCTATGATTGTGGTGGGGCCTATCACCGCAGATCGCCCGCTGTGTAACCCAACGACCCTAACCTTGTATAGTATTGGAACCCCAAGCATCTTGGCGTAGGGCGTAAGGGTAGACATGGCTCTTGTCCAGTGATTTATCGTCCGCCTTGTTGCCAGTTCAAGTGTTGCGTACGGCGCATCTCGGGGCGGCTCTAGAATTTCCCCGCTGTCGGTAATGCAGTCGCTATCGATACCCCGGACGCGCTGATACCGCTTGTGGTGAAGAAGTCCCATGGCTTGCCTTTCTCTCGGGTACGGCTGTCTTAGTGCTTTGATGGCGTGATGCCAGAATGCAACTCGATTCGATGGACTATCTTGGGGTTGATGTCGGATCAGTTCGGTGGGTTGTCATGCAATGCGCGTGACTTTTGTTCAGTACATGGATTGGCTTTGACAAGAGCGGTCGAGGCTTAGGACCCTACTGTCATGAGAATGTAGAATTGACTCTATTCTTAGAGTTCGTGATGTATCACGCCGCCATGCACTCGTAAAGCTCTGAGGTCTCCACGCAAACATCAAGAGTTGGTATCGAGGACATGACGTGGAAGGATCGAAGATGGCATACATCCCGGACGAATGAGCAGCCGCTGTAAAAGCCAGATACCCTGGCTGCTAGATCTTAGCGTGGGTGAAAGTGTCAATGGGTGTGGGAAGGTTGTAGGTAACGACTGGAAATATGGCATTCTGCGCTAGGTGCACGAGCCATGGGCCCCACGAGATAACAGTCCCAAGCGTTATCGCTCGGCCTCACGTTGCGACACAGGCCCATTGTTCCTCCACGACCAAGCGCTCCGTTGGGTGCTGTAATTCTCGCTGGTGGATGCGCGAACTCACAAAACGATGCTGCAGTTCTCGCCCTTCAAGTACTCTTCCATGGACGTGTACTTCACGTCGATGCTCAGGTCCCACGGAAACACGACATCAGGAATGCCCCCTTCGAAGCCAAACTTGTCGAAATACTCGTACATGTCGGCAATTTCGGGACCGTATACGGGTCCCATCGCTTCTTCAATGACTTCTCGGGGTATCTGCTTGAAGACGCACTTCACGTTGTTCACCTTCCCGAAGATGTCGCACCATTCACCAAGCGATGTGAACGATCCAGCGCCGCTCAGAAGTGTTCCTGGTGGCAACTCAACGAGTGCCTTCGTGAAACGCCCTGGGGTTATCAGCAGGTGGCTATGTCGAAGACCAATGAAACTGACCAGTGTCTGCAACCGGATCGACCATGGGGATCTTCCTGTCTCCACTCATGGGTAGACTAAGAACAAAGGAGCCATCTTCCTGCTTCTCTGGTCTCCAGTTACTTGCATAGGAGCCCAAGTGCAGCAAGCTCGTCTTGGCGGAAAGCTCCGGGTATGTCTCTTTCAGGTAATTCTCGGTTTCAGCCTTTGCGTCGAAGTGCAAATTCCACTTGATGGTACCGTTGCTCCATTTCCTAGCTTCAGAAAGCGTGGACAACACGAGACGGTCCAGAGTGCCTGCATGAGCCGCTGCTGCATCGATGATAGCCTTGGCTTGAGCAACTTCTCGGTCATATGCTACTTCGTTTGCTGTACGTTTCTGTTCGGCTGCAAGCTTATGTGTCGCAGGATCGTTCAGGTGACCCCAGAAGTCAGTGTTGCCGAAGATGACGTTTGCACCCTTGAACCCATTCTTCAACGACTCTACGTCATCGAGGTTGCCTGCTACGACTTCAACGCCTTGAGATGACAACTCCGTGGCGGACGCTTTGGAAGTGTCGCGAGTGATGCCGCGAACTTTCCACTCGGGCTCGTTCAGGAACGCGCGAGCAACTGACCCACCCTATGCTTAGTTAGTGTCGTGCTCATCTGGAGTGTTTGTCGATATATTGGCGCATACCTGATTTCCGGTGACCCCAATAACGGCAATTAACTTAGTCATGACTCTACGAAGCTATTCCTGGGTCTATACTAACAGGAAGTAACTTCCATTGGAAAGATATGAATGCAGAGCTTTATAGCCTCTCCGGTCGCCATATGAAGCGTGGGGTTCGCAGTCCTTGACCGGAAGATGACGAGCGAGTCGCTCCTGTTCCAGGCGTCCATTCGAATTACAGACAACAGGCTGTCAGATCGGTACAACAGCTCTGCTAAAATCTTACACACGCTGCGAGCCAAGAGTAGTAAGCCAATCGCATTTTCAAGCATGAAGGAGATCCGTTGGTTATTGGTCCTGGCTTACGACGTCATTGTACATTTGGGCTGTATGTTGCCGCCGGGCGTTCGAAACCCCGCACTCCTTCAAGGCCTCCATCAGCAATCAATACAAATCTGCAGAGGTAGGTAAAGAGAGGGACGGACAAAATAATTACTCCTATAGGAAGTCAGTCATCGGCCCCAGGGTGTAGAGTTGCATGGCTAACGCTAAGACCGTCTAGGAAAGTCTCGGCATTCGTCCAGCGTGTAGTCGAATGCAGGGTTTCTTCTCACTATCTTAAGATGTAGCAGTGAAAAGACCATTTTCGCTTGCTAAATTGTACTCGACTAACGTCCTCCAGCAACCCAAGCTGAACAGCTCATATACGCCACTCCTCGCGACAGAGCGGGCACAGCATTTCCTGTTCCATGTGAAGCATGAGCTCCAGTAAGCAAGACTTACCGTACACATGGCCAAATGGACATGGAGCGTGTACCGGACTGTCTCTTTTCCCATCCTCATCCTCTTCGTCAAAGTTGCACCAACAGTGAGGGCATCGCATATCCTCTTTTGCAATTGAATCGACGTCAATCACCGGAAGCGAGCGAACGAAGTCGCGTTTGGACTGCGCAAGCATCGGTCGTATGTGCGCAAACCATATCGGCTCGGATAATACTGGTATGCGTACGAAGACATGGCATAATGGGTGCTTCGCCGGGTCATCCACATGATTCCAGATAAGACCAAGGCAGTCCATCATATACTGAACGATCCAGCGATTCCGAAAGGCGATGTGTAACTCGGGTAGCCTAAGAGAAGTATCCATCTCCATACAAACCATAAATGGAGAGGTAGACGAGTAGTCAAGTAGCATGGACGTGTGCGCTACGTACTGATAGGGTGTTATACCCGCATTGTGCATCTCATCCAGCATGGCCGCTAGTTTGTACATGCCTACACACCAGGCTTGCGGCAGCGCGAACCGATCAGGAATTGGTCTGCCGACGGTAGGATGCGCGCTAGGGATAGCTGAACGGAGCTCTATGTCCGCTTCATTCAATATCTCTAGGAATGACCAATGCGAGAAGCTCATGCCTTTGTAATTGAGGTTGGGTTCTTCGTCTTCGATGGGGGCGACGCGGGTGATGAAGCTGTCTTTTAACATCAATTCCGGAAGGTTGGCTTGACACCATCCTAGTGGACTGATGCCGACCTCGATCATCTCATCGTACATGTCTTCGGCCGTAGTACCAATCGAGGGTGGATGGTAGATAGCATCCTCTAAAAACGGACGCCCGGTATTGTGGAACATACATTTGGTACGCACGCCTTGGAGGTAGGCGAATACGAAGTCCTCAACAGTAAAAGACAAGATGGGAGCTTCCACAGCAGCGAGAGGGTCGGGCTTGCTAGAGGGAGTAGTAGTAGGAACTACCGACTCTTGTTGCGTAGTGAATGTGTTTCCCATCGTTATTTTTCAATTTGGTTGTGGACTGATTGCCGCGCGCAGTTCTGGTAGGGATAACCGTTCAGGAGAGCAATTATTCAAGGTCGAGTAGGCCGCAGGCCAAGAGCGCATTCACTGGTGAAGATCACAGTAAGGGCTTCGCCCTTGAGCCACACAGTGCTCCAAAATCACCTTCACTTCTGCCTTCCTCTGCGGGCTCTATATATACCTTCAGAAACACCTCGATACAGCGTTCAGCACCTCTCACTCCCAACCAAAATATCAGAATGTCATCAACCTCACCACAGCCATCTTTTTCCGCTAATGAGTCTGGTGCCGTTGTTTCGAGCACACAAGACGACCTCACCGGAGACATGCCTCCGACTACGGCAGATGCTAGCCCAGCGCCAACGACATCCAACGGAGAAGAAGAGCCATCCCTGGAATCGCTAGAGAGCGAGCTTGACCAGAGCATGACACTCGTTCCATACGGCTCACCAGAGTCCACGTCAAACGGAGCTCATCCAGATGGACAAGGGCACGTCTTACCCGGCCTAGGCGGCGTGATAAACGAACCCCTTGCAGCGTTGTTCGGAAATGCACCATTCTTCGTCTACGGCTTCGCGAACGCCACGGGCGCGGATCTCCCGACTCTAGGTAATCTAAATACGCACCAAGCTCTCGTTGTCCCCGCGACGACGTCTTCCCACCCTTTACCGACATTAACGAGTTCTTTTGCGCAAGTTCACCATCATCACCACCATCACCATCACCATCAACATCAACATCTACATCACTATCTACATCAACCAGTTCAACTTGCCTTATCCGACTTATTCGCCGACCAACAGACCGAGGAGCAATGGGAACAAGAACAGATCCAAGACGCTTTGCACTGGGAAATGGCAAACTCTGAAGCAATGTTTGGACCTATTCGCCATCAAACTCGAACAACACGCGTGGAAGTCGCCACGGCTTTCGTCGAGACACTGGACGAAGTCGATATTACTAGTATCGAACCAGAGGATATGAAATGTCCGCTGTGCTGGCTTCCTTTCGGCAGCACCACAGACGAGGAGGGTCCATCAATTGCTACTTACCTCGACGATGAAGAGCGAGAAATCACGGAGCGCTTACATGCGAGCTATAATCTGCCCTTCTGCGAGAACCGGCCGGATAACGACCCTGTTAGAACTCCATGTGGGCACGTCTTTGGAAGACAGTGTCTGATCGATAGCTTGGAGACGAACATGATCTGTCCCATGTGCAGATGTCGGGTTAATGGGAACGAGGGCGTGACCCGCCCCTACCATTCCATTTTCGGTAATATACTTCCGTGAAATCCATTATGGTAGTACACGAATGGTGTAAATTTCGTTTCATAGTAGATTTATATATAAGCTCAAGATAGGCGATGCCATCTTTCTAATAGGGTCGGCGCAGTGGATGTGCTTCGGTATTGCTACAGAATCGTTAGCATCATCTTCAACATCACAAGGGCCATACTCACAATACATATTCATCTAAGCTGACAAGGCTTGGCTCGCTGAAGATCAAATAGAAATACTTTAGAGTTTCCGCCATCCAAAAGCTTTCACATTCATCCAACTTGAGTGTCTCTTGTCCTTGTGGTATCGTGACGTCGGCGATGGCAGAATGGGCGAATTCTGCATGAGTGGCGTTGTTGATGGACTCGAACATGCGCCAGGCAGTGTCTTGGAGGGTGGTGTCGCCGGTGATACGATAGAGGACGAAGACTGACTCGATGGCTTCCGGGCTGTGACTGATGTTAGCTACGCATGCTAAAGTGATGCGTATACTTACCGTAACAAAAATCGCGGGTCCCCAATCTTGGAGAAACCAGGCTGCAGTCCCACTTCCTTGATGACGTCTTGAACGTCGTAATGCTCCGCATGGATGTTGTTGGAGTAGGAGTACCTGACAGAGGCATGCCATTTTTCCACATCCCACGCGCAGTCGTCCTCCCCAAAGCACGGCATCATCCGGAATGTCTCTGGCATGATACCCGTAGGCATGGTATCGTAAGCCCAAGTGCACCCGTCCACTAACTTGCGAGCGACGTCTAGCTCATCCGTCCGATTGAAGATCTTTGCGCCCAAAGCAACCATGCCACCCGTAAAGCAAGCGAGGTGCTGGCCGTTGGGTTCGAGCTTGACAGTGCCTGAGGTGCTGATTCGCGCATCGCCAGAAACGAGGATGTTGTCACACTGGGGTATCCTGGGCCGGAAGAACAAATGCTCTTTCGCTGGCTCGATGGCGCGCTCGTATAGCTTCCGGTATTGGTCTGTCAGACCCCCGAGGAGCAAGTGCTGCTTCGGCAAGTATTCGTACAGCGAATCAGTCATTCCACCCATTGTGAAGGATCCGTCGACGTCGTATTCCTCCCGACCTGGACTGACCAGTATTGGAAATAGCCCTGGTATCTTCGTCCGGTTCTGATGCTTTTCGAGCACGTCGGTGATCCTCGCTATCGCGTCGTAGTACTTCGCGTCGCCGGTAAGCTGCGACAGGCGGGTGAATTCGAGTGACAGCGATCCTATCTCGGCGCTGAGCGCTTGCGTATCAGCCTCTTGGTGGCCGTTTAGAGCAGCACTGATTTCTGTTAGTCTGTGTGGGTCGGTGGCATGGCGCAATCATACTTCTCCCAGTCCCATCGGGTGATGGGCATCCTGTTCGGCGTGTCAAAGGCGGCGTAAAGCATATCCCCCAACTCGGTCGCCTTGTGTAGTAGTGTATGGTGCTTCGCCTTGCTTAAATCGTATGCGCTTAGAAGACCCCCCAGGTAGCGGATCGTAGTCTCGAAGACGTTCAGACGCGCGACACCTGCAGTGGTGAAGTCAATCTTCTTGATGGCATGTACGGCCTCCTCAAATTCCTCTTCTAACCCTAGGATGATCAAGGTATCCAGTGTGTCAACTAGAGTTGCTCCTCGCTGTCCGAAGCCGTTCTTGAAGCCTCCTGTTACCGGAGTGACTTCATCCTGTAGCCACGCGTGGGTCTTATATCCTCCCCAACTGTGTAAGAATGCCTTCTTTACAGCAGCTTGTCTATGCAATCTCTCCGCCTTGGTGTGTTCCGTCTCAATGCCAAATTCATGTTGGATTCTCGGGATGGCGACCGGGGCGCCAGTGGGGAGAGGAGCTAGCGATGATACCGGGTTTCGCACCGGTATGCTCTTCCATTGTACGGCGTGATCGATTCGGGTCGACGAGGTGAAGGTCGGCAGAGGGAGTCCGTTTCGGGCGCTAAGTTGACGGAAGGCAAGGATGACAAAGGTAGCGAATACAAATAGCACAGCAATGCGTCGGATAATGGGGCTCATAATGTCTATTGAGGGTATCTCAAACTAAAATGGAAGAAACGCGACTGCTGCGCCGCGGAACACAGGGCCAGCATCCGAGGATGCAAAAGAGCAATTGAATAGGACAAGAATGTATCGACAATACAAGAAACAAAAAAGACAGACGGTATGCAATAGACACAGCGAATGCGACCAGGTGGGATGGAAGAAGGAGCCCCGTGGTGATGCACATGCTAAAGATAGGCTTGAGTGCCGATCCTCCGACCCTGAGCTAGCGGCTCCGCGGGCGTCGTCATCGTCAACCCATCACCACCACCGCTATCAACCTCGCGATGTCAAGGAGATATCTCAGAGAGCAGCAATTGACTGTTCAACTGCTAGTGCGACTGCCGCGGACGGCTTCTTTGTCTCACGTGCAGTAGGCAGCAGTCGTTACCTAGGTAATGCTTACTCGGGAGATCACGCGCGATGTGAGACTGCGAGACAGTCAGCCATCTTCATCGGTGCATCATACAGCGGCGCTCCGCTCACCATGTGTAATATGAAATCTGTATGTCGCCATTTCAGCAAGGTTCCGGGAAGTTTACGTCGTTGAAAGCTATATGGGCCACGAGCTTCGCACCTTCCACGTCCATCATCTCATCACTGCGAACTTGCCTATGAACCCCGAGAACAACAACTTTATACAACGAATTTGGCACAATGTTCACACTCTTCGGAGATCGCGCCCCTTCATCACCCCCAGATCCGGCCAGACTCCAGCTCCGACCTAACGAATGCCAAGTGCTCAGCCTCTCTGACGGGCGCTCTCTTGGCTTCGCAACCTATGGATCTACGAACCCATCGCACCCTGTCATTTTCCTTTTCCACGGTCTCCCAGGCTGCCGTTTGGTCGGGAGGAGCTGGGACAAACTCTGTAGGGACATTGGCGCGCGTCTCATCGCTATTGATCGTCCAGGCTGTGGAGCTTCGACGCTCGCAGATCGTGGTCTCGTTGACTGGCCCACGGATGTGGTGAGCTTTGCAGACCATCTCAACATTGAGCGCTTCAGCGTGCTGGGTGCTAGCGGAGGCGGACCATATGCGTTGGCCTGCGCACGCTTCATTCCCAAAGAACGACTTCGGGCGACGACTGTAGTGTGTGGTATTGGACCCATCGAGGCACTTCTAGACACTGTGCCCTATCTGTCATGGCGGCTCATGGGTATAACTCCATGGCTGCTACGCCAAGGGGCCCTCCGTGTCTTCCTACCTCACATCCTCATTCGTCCCTACCTCACTAGAGACCCGTCTCGCCTCAAGCGTGTCCTCGAAGACCAAGCCAAGACTCCAGAAGAGAAAGAGCAATTTCGCGACAACAGCGGAGAGACCAATCTTGACGACGTTGTCGCATCATTGCTTGAGGCTTTCAAGCAAGGCGCTGGCGGATGCATGCAGGATGGTGCTGTGCTTACGAGAGAATGGCGCTTTGATCTGAAGGACGTAGACAGCGAACATGTCTGGCTAGTACATGGCGATCAAGATGCGCAGGCGCCGTTGAAGGTTGCGCAGTGGATCGATGAGAAATTGGGGAGCGGGAGACTGCGGACGCTCGAGGGCAAGACACATTTTACGATCTGGAAGGAACACTCGGAAGAGATCTTTCGACAAAGCGCTGAGGCGTAAGCATATCGGTTGATGGATGAGTATTCGCAAGTTC